TTCTCTTCATTATATGGCAAGGTGATTATTTTTTTATGCATATTAATATCCTTTATTTGTTTGTATTTATAATTTACTAACATATTTATTTTTCTTTTTCTTTCAGATTTTTCTTTTTCACATTTGTCATACCTTTGTCAACTAATTCAAGCACTTCTTAACATAACAGTTTAGGTTTAATATTATAAACTATCTCATCTTTAATTCACCTATCTTATTAAATTTAATTCAGAGAAAAGGATATATAAATTTTTTGCAGTAATTTTTGTTATTAAAAAATGTATAATAAAAAAAAGTTGTCTAGGCAAAAAAGGCATTGGATAGCCTTGGAAGTCCAACTGGACCAGAAAATCAATGATCCATTCTTATACCTAAATTATGTGTGGTGGGGGTCACTTGGACTAGTCTGGCCCAGACCGGTTGAGTTTGGTTTGAGTCCAAACTTGTGCTCTTCACCAAAAACAAGAAAAACATTGGTAATTTATTTTGCCTCATAAATAAAAGACTGTTTGAAATGATTTATAAGTAATTTTTTAATTATAATTTATAAAATACAAAATAAGTATATAAAAAGAGTTTTATCTCAACTTATTTAAAATATACTTATTAATTATTTTAAAAGTGATGCGGGTCCAAAAAAATCTCGTACCACTTTTCAACTATCGATGAGCTCCTTGTTGGTTCAGAATTATGAATAAAAATATTCATATCTTATTTATGGATATATTTGTTTGAGTTGTAATATGAAATTTTTTGTAAACATCTTAATATGATACCCACTATACTTTAAGTGTTGATATATGATATTGTAAAAATATAGAAAATAATTTAAATATGTGTGATTTATATGAATGAGCCATAGAGGTTCAAAGAGGTAGGGGTTTAACCTTCCTCGCTTCTCTCACCTAAACATACTCACCCTTCCCAATTATCAAGGAATCTCTCATCATTGTTCCAAATATTTTATATATAACATATCGAACACAAACTACCATAAGGGACAAATTTCGTAAAATTGAAATACCCGTCACATTTCTAGCGATTAATAATGGCTAGAAATGTTTTGGCGCCAATTACAAAATTTCAATTCCCGGCAAAATTTGATCTACTCTGAATTTTCTAGCGGTTAACAACCGATAGAAAATTATGGCGTTAAAATGAAAATTTTTGTTTCCTAGCAAAATAAAATTTCACTTAGAAGTTTCTAGCAGTTAATTAACCGCTATAAATTTTTCAGATCTCTCTAGTGGTCATAACCACTAGAAATTTCCACCGCGGTACTTGTTTTTTCTAGCGATTATTTTAATTGCTAGAAGTTTTTTAGCGTTTTGACCACACTGTGTAACGGTTGACGTAACTGCTAGAAATTCCTTTGTAGCACTTGATTTTCCAACAGTTTGTGTAACGGCTGCAAATGTTGTTTGTAGCAGTTATAACTGCTAGAAAAGTCATATTTTAACCACTACAAAATACATATTTTTTTGTAGTGTTTTTGGAGGTTCAAAAATGCACATAAAAATGCAAAATTAGCGTGAAAATGATATAACTACTAAAATAACATAAAGTTGGTTTACTTTTTATAGTGGGACACATGCTATTTAAAAAATATAAAAAGTAAATTTACAAAAATACTTATAAACTTTTTTTCAAAGTGTGCCAAATATCATATCTTTTTCAAATGTGCAAAAATAAATTGCACTGATCAATATTACTATGTTGATTTAGATCAAGTGCATTGATCTACATATATCTTTCAAAGTCGTTGAAAAAACTGAAGAAAAGCGTAAAAAATCCAAAAGCTCCAAATGGAGACAATAACTTGAAGATGAGTTAATTGGATTGAACTTTTAGTTTCAACCCGCAGAACGGCAATTTTAGAAGCATGGTTGCAAATTTTGGAAATTAGAGACATAGTTGACAAACTTTTTCCGCATACAAGTGAACCATACGAAACTTGTGTGGAGGGTTTTCGACTCATTTCTCTTATTTTCAAATGGTCTTTTCGAATCAACAGAAAAATTTTTAACATTTAAAAAAACAACAGTTTCCTCATCTCACAATATTTTCATCCCAAATAAAACAAAAAAGTATATATAATCCTTTTCCTTTTCAACTGATTAAATTTTTTTTAAAAGTAACAACAGCAATAATTTTAAATGAATATTATTTTTAAATATAATCATAATAATATTTTTATATATATAATGTGTTATATGATTGTTAGGCAAATTAAATGGAAATTTTCTTCTCCAATCACTATACAATAGGACAAATCAATCAGGACAGAACAAGAATCATGGAATTTTCTTCTCCACTCCTTTCTTGCTAAATTCCTTTCCCATTAATGAACAAATTTTTCCACATAAGAAAAGCAAAAGATTCCTCACCGTAATGTTTACTTCAAATAAGATACAAAATTTTTCTATCACTGCTGTGACAATTGTTCATCTTTTCTATCCGTTTTAAAGTAGTTACTTTTTGTACGTCTTCTTTCGTATTTGTCATCAAATGATGTATGACTATCAACATCAATTTTTTCAATATAACACTTGATATACCTTAGGCTTGCTAAAATTACAAAAAAACTTTCAAATATTTTCACAGCCTTAATTTTAATCTTTGTTTTAGCAGTTTTTAATAATGTTTTGGTAACAAATTCTAAAATTTTTTTTTCTTAATTGAAGTTTATGTTAAAAACGTTTAAAATGATTAACTTTTTTCTTGCCATAGATAATTAATTTTTTTATATGAGTATTTAATAGGCCAAATTGAGAATAACGCTTCAAATGATGTTTTTTTTTTTGGGTAGTCACATGAATTCAAATCAAACTCAATACCCTATGTTTAAGCAGTCAAATTTTTTCCACTAAAACTAACACGGTAACTCCAACCCTGGTTGATGTTTAAAATGATTAGCTTATTCTCATAATCTAATAATCAATGCTATCTACGTCTCCAATTTTATAAATTTTAAACAAAAAGCTGCTAGATATTATTAGTTTTGATGATATCAAATATCAAAACAAAAAGTGTGCAATAAATGGTTATCTCATGTAGGGCTGACAAGTAACCCGCAACCTAACCACTCTGCCCGCAACCAGTAAAGATTGGGCCTGCTTGAGCCTATCCAAAAAAGAAATAAACGAGTGGGTTTCAATATTAGATGGGCCGGCCACGGGCATAGGAACGGGCTACCCTTACCCACCCGTTTGGAGACCTCAAACAGAAAGTGTCGCACAACACACAGCCTTTCACACCCTCACTCAATGTCTTACATTGGGCACTGCCTCCCGACTCTGACTCTCCACACTCTTGCCATCTCGCTTCTCACTCTTGCCTTCTAGCTTGATCTCTCACACCCACAACCTCGTTGCTCGCTTAATCAATCACTTAGTCCCAGTACCGAAGTAGCAACATCTGACAATAACTCCTCCCATCGCATCACCTCTTACTCTCAGTCTTGTTGGCATCTCACGTCCTCCCTCGTTGCGATCTCAATGACGATGTCTCCCTTACTTATTAGTCTCCCCCTCTCACCTCTCAGTCTCCACATTCTACACTTTTATAAGCTATAAATCTCTCTTCCCTGTTAGTCTCCTTGTCTCACCTCTAAAGAAGAAGATGATTGTGATGATGAGTGATGATGATTTGATGAATAATCCTTTAGATTTTTATATTTGTGGTTGTCCTATTTTAAGCTTGAACATTAGAATTATGGTTTGTGATTTTGTGTACTACGTATTATGGACTTTGATTAGTGATGGTTATTCTATTTTATGGTTTGATTTTTTAAAGTTTGAACTTTTAATTTCAAGAATGAAAGACCTTGGCTTGAAATTTGATTGGTTAATGGTTATAATGTTATTATCAAATTATGTTATGATTGATTGATGGTTTAATTAGTTATTTATTTACTACTTGCTTGAGTTATTTCTTGTCTTTGAGCTGAAAAGGTTTAGTAGGAATGAGAATATGAGATAATATTTCAATATCTTCAAATTTAAATAGGTTTCAGAATTTCGTATCTTAAATGGGTTCCCCAGAACCCACAAAAACCCGTCTAGTTAAAATAGCTGGTTTAACAATGGGCTTTAACGGGCCATCTACGGGTACAGGCTAACATGTACCCATATAATCTTAAATGGGCGGGCCATGGGTTAGGAGCCGGATAGCCCAACCAGCCTGTTACTCTTCCCTAATCTCATGCTTTAACTAACCACCATACTTAATGTGATTATCTCATAAAATTTGTTCAACAAAAGAAAGGAGTTATCATGAGATTGATTCAAAAGAAGAAGAATAGAGATAGAAGAAATAAGAAATTGTAAGATCAATTGGGAATACCAAGATTTAAGTTCTCAGATTTGATATTGAAGGTTACTATGCTCAACAAGAAGTTGGAGTGGCCCAATTGAAAGTTAAAGAAGCCCAATCGGAAGTTATATCAATATAACTTGAGTCACCTTTTATCTAAGCTTGAATATAATCTTCAGAGATGATTTTCAAGTGTGTCGAGTTCATTATCGATAAACATATTTATCTATAACCTCTTCAAAAAATCAATATGTCATGCTTTGTTCTTCATTCAGCTCTAACACATGGTCGGTATTTTTACAATATCTCCTAACCTATAAATCATTTGAGGTGAAACTTGATTAATATAAAACTAGACTTAGTATAAGGTTCATGGACACCAAGATCAACTCCAATGAGTTTCATATGAAGGAGATATGCTATTGAGGTTTCATGCCTTGTCACTGACCTTCAGTCACTTTGATGAAGATAACTTTGAAACTACAATGCATTTTGCAGTAGGACTTGTTGTGTTAGGAAGTTGACTCAAAGAGCTTTCTGGTGATAGTTCCTTTATAACATTTGGAGTTGAATTGAAAGATTTACAATCATTCAAAGTTGACCTTCATTTTTCTTGCATGAAAATTTATCGATAAAGTTACCAATAAGCTTTTTGACAGTTCATTGTTTTTCAAGAAAATAGTCATTTATCAATAAGTTTATTGATAACATAGTTTATCAATAATAACTTTGATAATTGTACTCAAATTTTAAAGCGTTTGATTATGTCTTTTAAACCTAAATTTGCTTTTGGACAGGCACTAAAAGGGTTGGAAGGAAGTATGTTTCACCTCCTGCTCATCTTCCTCATCAATCACTCATCATGATTGGCCGCTTTCTCATTGCCTATCGCCTTCACTCTTCTAGCATTGTTAGGTACATTTCTCCTCCCTCTCTTCTCAATTTGAAAACTCATCTGGATAAGAGTGATTTTAGAAGGAGAACACTATTGATGCAATGCTCAAAAAGAACCTGCAATTTTCAACGTGGGTGATTTCAAAAGGAGAAGGGGGTAGGTAAAAGATCGGGGTGAATAAAATAATAGAGAAGAAAAGGGGAGATGAGGATTAGGGATCAAGGATGGATTTGAAGGGAAGTCTGATTTTGATTTTCTTATGCTTTATTTTTTTTTTATAGTTGGTGTAAATGAAGCTTCAATCTGATATAATGATTTGTACTGGAAAGCATTAATTTCTGTCGTTGCTTCTTCTTTCCTAAATGTTGTTTAGATGGGCTTTTTTTTTTTTTTTTTTACAGGATGTCCTAGTTTGTTCTAGTCTTGTCCTTGTGTCAATTAAGACTAGGAAACTTTCGAGATGGGATGGGATACAAGACGAAAATTCCATTTTATGAGAGTTTTCAAGATGAGACATTGGATTGGCAGTATGCCAGTCCTATCCTCTCCTGTGAGCACCCCTCATCATGAATTTAGGTTGCCTTTTTTATCTATACTTTCAACACGTTTTGATTATGATCCTTATACTTTTAACAAGTTTTGATTTTGATCCCTATATTTTTAACAGGTTTTAATTTTGGTCTCTATATACTCATTAATGAAGGTCACACCATTAAACTGAATTTCATGTCCTTCTAAAATTATAGGTACTAACATTTTGCCTGACACCCCAACCACGCAACTTGGATACTTAGCGTCCAATCAATTACACCATATAAGGGCTTAAGAACTCCGTCCCAAAGCTATGCGAAGCCCGGACAAAACCTTCCTAACGCAATTGTTATCTCAAAGGATTAATTTCAAACAGTTACTCAAGCCGAAATATTTTATAAAATAAAATACAATTTTAGTACCATAGCAATTAAATGTAAATGAACACAACTTGTGCTCAAGGGACATAATAGAGCCTTCAAGATTCCCTCCTTTAATGCATTCTCCTGACTTCTACTTGATCTCTAAACTAAAATGTTAAAATGATGGGCAAGCACTAATGGGTTGTTTAGTATGCTTGAATTGATTTTGATGGAAATGAAAATGGACATAGATATGCACTACAAAAAAATAAGGCATTAGTGATAGAATTTAGCGACAAAATTCTATTCCTTCATTAATCCATCGCTAATCTGTGACAAATTCCATCCCTAAAATTAATGACAGGATTTAGCGATGCAATTTTTTAGTGACGAAAATTTAATCTGTCTCTAAATTTCATCACTAATCTGTCATTGATTCTATTGTAAAAGAATTAGTGATAAAATTTTTTCATCATTAATTTCCGTTACTAATCCATCCCTAACTCCCCTCACAAAATATATTATATTGAGAAAAAATACAAATCTTATAAACAAAAAATAAATAATAAATATAATATAATAATTATTTTAATTAATATTTGAATAAAAATATTAACGATTAATTATTTTTAATAAAATAAAAAATTAAAATAAAATAAATAATAATATATTAAATTAGATAATATGTTAAATTATATATATAATATTTATTATATATGTTTGTATTTGTAATTAGAAATATTATATATATTTTTGTATAAAAATTTTGTAGGTGTTTCTCTGGCAAAAGCTTGAATATGAGTAAGAGGTCATAAGTTTGAATGACCACTCCTTCATAAAAATTGGCTTAATTTGTGATATAGCGATGACATGGACTAGGGGATGATGTGAGAAAGCAATAATGTGGTCATCATGAGAGAGAGGAAGCAATGATGTGGTAATGACATGGCATCATGGGAGAGAGGAAGCAATGATGTGGTGATGACATGGTGACACGGGAGAGAGAAAGCAATGATGTGGTCATCATGGGAGAGAGGAAGCACTGATGTGATGATGACACGGCGACATGGGAGAGACAGCGGGTGGTAGGGTGACGATTTGGAATCTCTCTTCTTTCCTCTTTTTCTTTCTAACCATTAGATTAATATTTTAACGATTCATATTTAAATATTTTTAAAATTATTATTAAATTATAAAAATAAATAAATAATAAGTTACAAACTCTATTAAAATTTAATTCTAACGGTTTGCAAATATATTAAATATTTTTAAAATAGTTTTTATAAATAATTTGTAGAAATTAAAATCTTAATTGTTGAAGTATGTTAATTTAATGCTTAGAAAAGGAAGAGGATTGAAAGAGAGGAGGAGAGATTCTGAACCAGGTGAGTTGGAGGGTAGTGATGATGTGATAGTTGTCATGTGGTATTTTAAATTTACAGAACAAATAAATTTAGCAACTTTCATTGAACAAATAAATTTCTGTCACTAATAAATTTAGCAACTTTGCCTAGATAAATAAATTTTTGTCACTAATTTGTGACAGAATTTTCATTACAAATCTGTCATTATTTTATGACAAAAATTTCGTGAGATATCCGTCTCTAATTAGTGACAGAAATTTTACATCACTAATTTTTATCAATAATCTGGCAGTAGTTTGTCACTAATTAGTAACAAAATTTTGAATTGCGTCACTAAATAATTAGTAACAGTCGAATTAGCAATAGAATTTTCTGTGTCACTAATTTTGATTAGCGACAGAAATTTCGTCCCTAAATTTTGTCACTAATTTGCTTTTTTTTTTTTGTAGTGATGGAAATAGAAATGGATATGGAGATGAAAATAGAGTTTAAAATTGTGTTTGCATACACATGGGATTTTTGTATAAAAATACGAAAATGCCCTCCTACAAAACTCCTGCCCAATGAACGTTCATAAAAAACCATTCTTCGTCATTGACAAGATAAATCAAACCACCATCACTAAGGAAAATCCAAAAAATCCAGCAAGATAAATCAAACCCAAAATAATCACACAGTCCAAGGACATTATCAACTTTCAAAATCGACATCCTACATATCACCCGTCGACCAATGTCACCTTTAGAAGCAATATGAATTTCTTGTTTCTAAGTTTCCACCAAATGAGCATCCAAATGATGTTTCTAAGGTAGGATTCTTGCATTATTTTTCCTACATTTATTTGTTTAATCAAAGTTAAGCCAACTTTTGCTCGCTAAGAGAGATGGCCATGTTTAGTGTCCAATAGTGTCTCGAATAACATTACCTCCAATAGGAAGATATATACACTTTAGCCAAAGAAAAGTCAAGCCAACTTTTGCGAAATACTAATGCACTATTGAATTTGGCTATAAATATACTTAATCCATTGTAAAATTAAAAATAACAAAGCAATTTCAACAAGATGCAATGAATAGATGAAATCATCATTCACAACCAATACTGTCAAGCATGAGAGAAAGCTTAGAAGTTCAAATGTAGGGGAAAACAAGGGTGCCATTATAGATGGGGTCATCGACATCGAGAAAGGTGACGGTTGCCAGATATAAAGAAGGGGGCGAAGACAAAGAGAAGAAAACATGGGTGCCATTAGTCGTCGCACAATCTTGTTCAAGAAGTAAAAGAAATGAGGGAAGAAGGCAAATTTGAAGTTAAGGAGAAGATGAAGCTAGAGATCCATGAAAAATGGGGGAGGAGGCCAAGATGAAGCTGGACACCACCGCCAGCTTGCCGCTCGACAACACTATCATCATCACATTTGTGAGCACAAGTTGTCTGTGGATTGCGCCGGCAGTGGGAGGACAAGGGAGATGGTTGCACGACAACTTACAGAGAAGAGACCAAGGTTAAAAATGAAAATACTGATATGGAATTAGAAATGTTAGGGTCCCAACATGGAAATCATTTCCATATATTTTGATGGATATGGAAATGGAATTTTTTCAAATTCCATGCTACCAAATATACTCAAAGCATGGATTTGGGTTCCATTTCCATTTCGATATGCTCATAACCCAAAAATTCTACCATGTAGATACAGAATAACAAGAAAAAAAAGAAAATTATAAATTAGGCACACATATATAGATGTACCATCTATCTTTTTCGTCATTATTTCCAAATATGACATTATAATTTATAATAGCTATATGCAAAGCCTGTTAATATGATTTTTCAATGAATTTGTGAACTCACCTTTGATGATTTTCAAGTGGTATTTGTTGATGATTTTCAAATGTTGATTTGTGAAAGAATTTGTGAACTTGCCTTTGAAAGCCTGAATTACATTTGTGAAATGTTTGTGAATTGAATCTGAAATGGTTTTGGAAATATGATTTGTAAATAATAACAAAGGGAAAACTGTTTTTGGGTGAATGTCACCCAAGGAGTCGTACGTGTTTATTGGATGCATTTTAATAGGAATATTTTATAATACAAATGGATATGAATGAACTAAACAAAGAGAATTAACAAGTGACAGCAAATGGAAAAGCAATCCTCTAGCACAATGATTAAGGCTATCATTACTTCAATTAATTTGGGAGTTAGCTAAATTCAAAAGACTCTAAGGGCCACTCCTTAGACTCGGTTTAATTAGAATAATCAACACCAAGCCACCTTGCATATTAATTATTTACAATTAAACTGTTTCAGTACAATTAGCCAAACAGAGAATCAAAGAAAAGCAATTAACATTTTTAGTCCAATAACCAAGCCACCTTGAATTACCACTGAATGTTCACAATAATTTCAAAACATAGTTTGACCCAGTACAATGTAAAGAAATTAAAGCTAATCACAGCATAATGTTAAATGCTAATCAAAGATTCCAACAACTACAACCAATCTCAATACAAATATAAATCATCACAGCCCATTCAAACATTATAAAATTCATTCTAAGACCTAGAAATCACAATTATAATGAAAGAAGTAAAGATTAGAAGAGTTGAAACTCCCCTTTGAAACTCCAAGTTCAAGCCATAAACACTGTTCTAGAGATTTGGAGGATTTAGCTACTCTTAACCATCACAGCCACAGCTCCAACAATCCAATTCGGTTCAGCCATGAAGAACAAAGAAGATGAATGCTGGGATGTGATTTCGCTGTGGAAGCTCACGCTGAATCCTCTCCTTCACGCTGCTGGTTCGCTGTTCCTCTTTTTGCCTCTCGCGTGTCCCGCCTCTCCTCTTTCTTTTTCTTTTTCGCCGCCGCTACTCTTGCCTTGCGTCCCGCCTATTGAAGATGATTATAATAGGTTATTAGTGGGGGGAGCAAAACGCAACGTTTTGCTCCCTTGTTTTTTTAAACTATTTTTTTTTATTATTATTTTTTTTCAAAATCTTCCAAAAACCTGCAAGTAAAAATTCAAAGATAAGGTAGCATTAATTGTCCTCAAAAATCAATTAGTCACAATTAAACTAAAATATAACAATTTTACCCCTATAAAATAATAATTCAAAATAAAATAAATTAAATAAATTAAGGCAAAAAGGGACCAATTAAGCTGACAAAACTCATATAAAAGATACCAAAATATATAAAAATAATTGAGTTTGTCAACTCCCCCACACTTAGCCTTTTGCACTCCTGGGCAAAACTTCATTAAAGAAGAATTCAATAGAGAGAC